CGGTCCGTTTGTAGCATACGCATTTCTATGCTATGCTGTACTCGGAGAAGGCACGCCTGAGTCTCTCTGGCCTGGCTCCACAGTCGTGTGCCTGTTTTTGTCACCTCTTCCACGAGCCTCTCGGGGAATATGTGAGGCTGCTCAATCAAAACCGGCATCTGAAGTTGCTTCCACGTCTCCTCAATCGTTGCAACGCGTGCATCAATGGTGCGAAGCGTTTTGCACTGGAGAGATATGACCAGCAACAGTCCACCAGTTAAAACGGCGACGAGCATCAACAGTAGGGTGGTCTGTCGTGAGGCCTCGTCTCCACCTCCACTGATTTCCCCAAGCAGTCTCGCAGCTCGGCTACTCTGACATGTGGCATTTTCCATGGCCGTCCTGCCCCCCCCCTACTTGGCTCAGTCAGCAATGGGTTCACTGGGGCCAAGCAGCTTTGGGTCAGGTGTGAGTCATGGGATGGGAAGGGGCAAGCGTGTTGTTCAATCAAGGCCGAATCCTTTCATGTCCGAAGTACAGACTCGCCAACGCATGCTCTGAATCAACCTGAGTGCACCGAATTGGAGTGGGACTGAAATGACTCTCGTTTCCAAATTTGGGCATACCCCCAAGGAAGGTTTAGGTTTTAGGGTTTAGGGTTTAGGGTTCACTAACTCTAGGTGTACATGCAAACGTCAAGATGCCTTGGCACCAGCGAGCTCAGGATCGGCGCTCAGAAGCTGCGCCGTCAGCTCAATCTCTTCCTTGCCAGAGCTTCATAGCTTCACGCAATCTCAAAAGGCACTTCGAAGGCATGTTGAGTGAGTGTGCTACGGGTATAGGGCAGGCCTCAGTGCTTCGCTACATGTCTCTAGCAAAGTTCGATGCCGGTGAATGACAATGAGCAAGGGCTCGACACGTGGGCCTGCCGCTCGCTGCAAAAAGCAAGCCAGGTTCTTGCGGCACTGCTGTACTCACTGGCCCAAAACCCAAGGAAATAAAAGTTGAAACTTTCAGACTCGACTACCTTATAAGAACCCCAAAGTTGAAAAGTGGAGTTTACAGCCAATAAGTGTATTTGCCTAAGGGAGCTGACGGTGACGAAGAGTGAGGAGTTCTCCTTTCCTCGACTCAGATTGTCTCTGCAACTTGCAACACATTGGACAGTGTTGGCCATTGTCGGCATTGATCTTATGTACGGCTCGTGTTTCTGTACTCTGCTATCTTGCGCATCTTGTCTCTGCACTGCGCATCTGTCTGTGGCATTGCTGTCATCTAGACCCCTGATCTTGCCGATGCGGTTCCCAGAAGAGACAATCGCTTAGGAAAATGTCCGAGTGGCCTGGGACGGCATAAAATGCCCGAAGTGCGCGTTGACAAGAGGATCATCTGCCAGCATCCCTCCATGCGCTCACGGGGACTCCCAAACGCAGCTACTTCAACAAGGCCTGGTACTCTGCAGTATAGGCCCTACAAGCTCTAAGCAGACACCTGTGCTGGAAGATGGAGGTCATCTGAATTCTTTATGCAACTTTCCAGGAGCTCTCTCACGGCTGGCCCTGGAGCCTTGAGGCACAGTGGACGAAGTTTCTGAAGCACCACCCATTCGTGACCAATCTACTTGCCCAGGCATATGACTCAACTTTTTCGGCGTGTGAGATCGACCTCTTCGGGAAGCATGCCATAGGCCTCACCCACCGCGGCATGACGAATAGCACGGATTGAGGCCTCTACGCGGTCAAGCTCCACGATCGTGCACTTTGGTGTGGTACTCCTCGATGAAACCTCTCAGCGTTATCGTCTTCAGGAACTCAGCTTCGCAAGCAGAAGCATCTTCATTCCAGAAGTAGTGTGGTGATGCTACATTGCTACATGTATGTGGCGTTTGCATTAAAAAAAGCAGACGGCTCAGAGCGCTGTCACGAGGGGTGCCCAGGTGCGCTCCGCGGCTCCCAAAGCCTGTTCGGGCCCGGGCCCTGTCTAACGGGGGAGGGGGAAAGACCTTGCAGAATCCGACAGTCCGGTGACTTGTGCTCACGCCACAGTTCCGAGTGTTTTGGACCATTAGAGGTATCTCTCAAACCTTAAGAAACCCAGCTTGCGTTCCCCCACTCCGTAGCAAACAGCATTTCAAGACGCCAAACTCTCGAGCAGCTGCCACGACTCTTCCACGCAACAAAGCATCACGACGAGACTCTCCAAAGCTAAACCACACTTCCACGCGCTGCAACACGCCTTCACACTGAAGCGGAAGATTGGAATATGTCAATGTAATGCAGTGTTTGTTCATTCCGTTGGTTACACAGGTCCTCGAATCGGCAGCGCTCACCACCGATGATTTTAACAGACTGGAGGCATTTTGTTTACGGTGCCTGCGTAAAATTCTGCACATCAAAGTCACCGTCTATGTTGTTCTACCAGTCCCTCTTGACGGCAGCAGGCAAGTCAGTTCTACAGAGCAATGCGCCGAGTAGCTCGGCAGTGACTTTAAAGCTAAACAGCCATCTGTACTCTCACAGCGGGCTGCAGACCGCCAATTTTGGAGTAAACTATTGAAGCAAGCAGCATGCAAGACGCTGCTGACACATAGCTCCGACAAGGTTTCTTCGCAGACTTTCGGAGTTGATGCACCAGAGTTGCATAGCGCCGCCCCAAACATACGTACTCGACGCCTGTGCAATGCTTCTTTCACACAAGTTTTCGCCAATTGCCAAACAACCGTTGTATCTGGACACAGCCTGAGACCCGGAGACCTTGACTACTACCAGTACTACATCAGCTCATTCTACTACTACTACTACTACTACTACTACTACGTCTACTACTACGCCGGGCCGTCTAAGGCCAGCACCGTCTTGCACGACCCGCGATCCGACGTCTCGAATCGGCGTGTGAATGCCTGGCAGGGTTTTTTTGCCTCCTACTTAGCAAGGACGAGCCCGCATTGCAGGGTTTAGGGTTTAGGGTTTTGGGTTTAGGGTTCGATCAGCATGAGGCTTCACCTGCAAGTAAAGTACAGAAGCTCAAGTTTTGGTGGTG